CTGCTTGTGCAGGATTTTGAGGAGAGATGCAATTAGTGCGTTCAGTGCCTTCAGCATAGCTAGCTGTTTGAGGCCATTGCAATGGGCATGGCCAAGGCGCACTTGCAGTTGACACTTTGGTGCTAACAGCTTTAATGCAGCATTGCAGTGCAAGAAGCACAACTCAATATCACGTGCACAGCTTGGCCTTTGCGGCGTATTCAAGCGAAGTGTGTGGCAGGCACTCGGCGATGATACGCGCGGAGCCTAGCATGTTCAGCAAGCGGAGTATCGCGGCTCTTCTGTTGATTCAGCGCTTGCTCGTCGGTCCCGAATCCTCCACTGTAGACGGCCTGATGCTAAGGCCCTTCACCATGCTAGCGGGCTCGGAGATTTTCTCCTTGGAGATGTCCAAGACCGAAGCCCTCACTCAGGCCGGACCTAAAATCAATACAACGCGAGATGCAGTTCTTGCAGTTCAGTCGCGAGTGCAGGTTGTTGAAGGCAGTGCAGTCGGCCTGTGCTTGCGGGGTAGTCTTCGTTTTTGGACACAGTTGCGATTATTTGTGGCAGGTTTTGCCGCAACTATCACGACGACCCAACAATTTGAGCTGACACCTTCTGTGTTCATTTGTTCTGTGTTCTTCCAACGTTCCAAGTGGATGCTGTCCGTGTTCACTAAGTCCGCTGTTTGCTTTCAGCCTGTCCTAGTCTTGGTGTATGTCCATAGCTCTCCTTCAGACATCCTTCGCTGGTGTTCTCATTTTTTAATGATCGCTGTGCATATTGCATTGTTGCGTTGTGCTGCTGTTTTCATACCGCTGTTCTGTTTTCAATTTTTTCTGGTTTCCCGTTTCCAGCGTGGCCCCGGTTGGTTCATCTCTCCCAACTGGCAACTGGTCTTCCCCGTGCTGCCTTCAGCTTGCAGCGAGTCGCTTCGCAGATGATGCATCCTTTCCCATCCTTGCATCGTATCATTGTGGCATCACCTGCCTCAAGAATAAGTACGCGGCAAAGCCTTGAACCCTTCTCGCAGTTTGCCGGGTGTGGCCAGGCTTTTCGAAGATCCATCGGTGTCCGAATACGAGAGGAAGCCGAGATCATAGAAGGAGAGGCCGGAAGCCAAGAAGAGTTCATGACTAACATAGGGCAGTCAAGCAATGTCAAGCAATGATGTGCTGTTCAGATCGCCAATCTCTTGTGCTTCTCACTTCAGCCTGCTCCATGCCCCTTTTGCACAATACGCAGCTCTCGCAGGTCGTAGAAATCGAGATTGAGCGCCCGGCGAATGGCCAGGCGGCGACCTTCGGCAAAACTGCCACGCTTTTGAGATCAAGGACGGCCAAAACAAGAACGGACAGTGAGGGGATGCCGGTAGATGGGCTGCTGATGTGAATCTTCATGAAATCTAAGGACTCATCATTCCTGCTTTGAAGACCAGCTGAAACTAACTGGGGGCTGCGATGCAGACTGCCAGGAAAAATGACCTTGAAGACAACAGAGATGGAGACTATGTACGATCTCGGGTGTGCCTGCTGAACTTGCAGATGCATATGCGCTTCTATTGGATAGGTTTAAAGGTTGATAGGGTTATAGGGCTTGAAGGCTTAGGCTTATTATAGGTTTTTCGGGTTCAGGGTTTGGTATTGTGGGCTGTTGGCTGCCAGGCAGAAGATGATCGAGACTATACAGAAGGAGCAGATCCAGGCTGTTCAAAAACAAGCTACTGCCATTATACCTGCTTTCGTTGCGTTCAGACTGTTATGTTAATTGCAGGTACAATTGAATAATGTACATCTTCTTGTATTCCTACCATAGCTTATAGTAATTCTTACTTGTATTCTTGCTGTTTCCGTTACGTTTTCTATTGTTGCTGCTATTTCTACTACATCATTACTGCAACCATGTCAGCTGGGGGCTAGTCCTGTTTGAAAGGGCTGGTAGTAGTACATGGCTGATAAACATTTGGACGGATCATGCCCTGCAAGAAGCGTTCGACGGGTTGGTGCCTTTCATGTCTTGCGATCGCTAGTTGCGGGCCACGAGTTGTCTGCAGGCTGGAGACATCATCACCATTGATAAGTCCTCCGGCAAGATCTCCCTTCTAGGTCGATCTTTTGCCAGGCTTGGTGCTTGGTCTTTGGCCTTCCTCTTGACTGTTCTGAAGCCGGGAAAGGCAAAGAGTCTGCAGGTCACGGGACTACGATGCCATGGGACCACAGACTCGGTTCGTGCAGTGCCCGGAGGGCGAACTCCAGAAACGAAAGGAGGCATGGAGCTTTCTGATAGGAAAGCCTCCGGCTACAACTTTTGTCAGCAGGTGGTCCACACCGTTAACCTGCATGAGATTGATGTCATCAACAGTCTGCCTCCTAGTTGCTCGCTGCTGGCCAGGGCGTTTCTTTCGGGTGGCGGGGGACGCCTGTAGGACATCCAAGGGCTGCTGAGGGGCTTGTGGCCAGGCCGGCAGCAGGGCTTTCTGGCGCTCTTTGCTGGCGACACCGGCGAGATCAAGCACGAGGTGCGGCTTCGTCACGCACAGCTCGCCGCATTCCATGCGCCTTTATGATGCAATCTGATTCTCCAGGTCCGGGAGCAGATAGATGCCAAGGTCGCCGAATGGCGCGAGGAGGGCAAGGAGGGGCCTTTGTGCAATTCTTCGTGTTGTTGCTGGGCTTCAAGCTGCTGCAGGCAGACATTGTGCCGGGTGTGCTCTTCATCGATGAGGCCGGGGGAGCTGGGTGAAAATCCTTTCAACGCGTGCTTGCACCTGGGAGTTTAATCTGAGCATGTAGGGCTGCCGGAATATCCTACAGATGTCATAGTTGTTTCGAAAGGGACTCTTGTTTGGCCACTTGTACAGGTTGCGAAAAGCCACAAATAATCTTCAATGGGCTTGAGAAGGCTGCCCGAGTGGCTTAGGCCGGAAGATGAGCTCCTTCTACTTCAGGTGCACATGCTGGACATTGAGTGCTTCTCCTTCTTGAACAGAGCGCTGGAGGCTTTCAGCAAGCCTGCTTGGTGTGTCTCAGCAAGCGGCATTATCTGCACGGTTTGCACAATTTTGAGGCAAACTGCAAGTTGGCATAGTTGACTGAACATACTGGCAACTGCTGTACTCCATCTTGGCTCCTAGAAGCTTAGTCTTCGCTGGCCATGATGGGAGGTTTCAACTTGTCGTCAACGCTGGCAGCTCAAGAGCTTCCCGATAGAAAGCCCATTGGGAAAAGCAAATGTGCCCTGAACTGCACACTGTGCAGCGCTTGTAGCCAAGCAGTCGCCATCAACTGCAAGCATAAGCCCTTGGCCCCTTGACGTTCAGCCATGCCTCTCTTTGGGAACAAGAAGAAAAAGCAGGATTCCAAGTCAGTGTGCCGGACTTAGCTTAAACGCCATCTTTCGAAGGAGCCTAGCAGATCCGAGCATGCGTTACAAGACTTACCCGTTGTTCATAGGGAATGGAGGAATGGATCCCTGTAGTAGCCCTATACCATCCCCAATCTTTACTTTTTTCGTTTCGTTTTTCATTCCTCCATTGCCTATCAGCCGCCAGCAAGGATGGGGCGAATAGATCTTGACTCCTCCGCTCCTACCGAAAGCTGCAGGCCAAATCTTCCAAAAGTGGACCTGGCTCTGACAGCTTCGTGCAACTTGGCAGAAGGATCTGATGTGGACTCCTTGCATGGGTGGTTGTCAACATTATGATCCCTTTTTAGGTACCCTGAATATCAGGTGCCGTATCATAATAGGGAATCAATAAGGGACCATAATTTTTGACAACCACCCGCATTTTGAAAGTCTTCTGGACTTCAGGGTTGGGACGGCACGTATCTCTTGCTGAGGAGTTGCAGTTGGGTGAATGATGGTGGCCAGTGTATGAGAGGGTTTTTTGCAGCTGGCAGTCGGCACTTTTGTTCCCCACGGAAGCAGCTCACGGGGGGAAGTTAGAGATTGGAAATGTTGTGTGCATCAAAGCAATGGCACATCCTGCACCAATCCCCTTCTCTGAATTGCCAGGTTTCACATTTCTCATCGTGGATACAGTTCCTGGGCAATCACAATTCGACTTGCTATACCTATTTCTGACATTTTCTGACCAAAGTTGGCCTGCTGCGGTTGGCCTTGAGCTCAGGCGCTGTTTGCACGTTATGAGGGGTCCCACGTTGTGGCAGAGCTGGCATTGCTTCTTGTCTGCAACCTGATGCGCTGCACAGATCACGGACCCGCCAGATGTAGATGCAACCATGTAGCCATAACCTGAAGTTTTCACTGGGAGCGTGTCGGCGTGTTCCCTATGATACTATAAACGCAAGCTCGCTGATAAAATGAGACTAAACTTGGCCATGGATGCCAGCGTGTTGGGAAGAGCTGAAAGTCGGGAGCACGAGAGGCATCCGCATGGAGTGCTGCAGGTACATGCTGATAACAGCTGTGGCGATTGCAGCTTGCAGCTTGGATGTCATGGATCTGTATCTATACATCCTGATTTGGTGCGTGATTTGGCGCTTGATTGTTCGGCGGGTGACCTGTTGCCTGATGATGTTTAGTGTTAGTGCTCCACGCGTGCGCAGATTTGCACGGCTGCCTTGCAAAGTTAAAGCAAGGCCAAGCTTTTCTCTAAGGCCGGGCCGCTGCGACTGCTCTTGGAAAAGCGCTCTCCACGAAGGAGGCGGGCAGGGCACTCGTGGCCAGATGTCTGACCTCACATGTGTTGTTCTTATCCATCTACGTCATGGTGTACACCTCCGAACCGACCCATAGCCTTTAGACCAGGCAGAAACAAACCCCGAGCGGGACTGCAGGTCAAAGGGGTATGCGGGTATCTCATTGACATGGTCAGTCATGTCTGCTAGCTTCCCAGATTCCAGGCTCTGAGCGCGCCCAGCCACTTGGGTTGCAGGGACAAGGAAGCGCATCTTAAGGAAGTTGTCTGTAATGTTGGCCCAGTTTCCAGCAGCCTGGACTGAGGAAACTTGAGGAAGTTTTCGGACCAATCCTGGCAGCTTGTGGTTCACGTCCTAATGACTGCTTACGCTCCCTGTCTGTACCATTGTCCATTGATCTCAGCGGCGTGTTTTCGGAGTTGTTCAAACAACTTCAAGTTTCAGTAAAACATTGTATTTTCCCAAAACAGGGGCCTATTTACAATACGGGTCCTCTACAAATTTCCGGTATCTTGCGAACAGTGATAGGGTCAAGTCCCGTATTCATATGTGCCTTTGCCTTGTAATCAGGTGCGTTGAATCTAACACATTGTCAAAGGTTCTATCTGTGTAGTGCAGAGCCTTCATGTTCATGTGGTCATGTTGCGCAGCGTGGCCCTGTGCCAATATCATATGCCAGATTGCACATGCAGAGCCATGAATACGCACATGTTCATGCATTTTTTGATGCGAACCAGCGCAGTTCTAGCACCGTCTGGCCTAAGGAAGTCATGCTGCTCAATCGGAATGGTGCGGCGCCCAGACACTGTAAAGCCCGGAGCACGAACCCAAAAGCTGCAAGATTACACTCTGAAAAGTTGAAACCCATGAAGTTGGGACTGTCAAGTCATGGAGCGCCCGGAGTGCATGTCTGCAGATGTCTGCAGTGCTAGCTCTGTCGAGGTTGGGAATGGTGGAACGACACAACGAAGCTGAGCTGGAAAAGTTGGTGAACTTGTTGACATCCCTAGTTGGTGGGCACTTGTGGGGCCTGACAGCTTTCCTTGATTAGCCCATCGGCTTGCCGAGTCGCCTTGCTGATCCTGTAAAGACATGCATTTGTTGCAGAATATCCTATAGTAATTTCCATTTTCCACTATCCCAATATAATCCCAATATACTATAGTAGTTTCCATTTTACTTTTCATTATCCCAATATAACACCAATATACTATAGTAGTTTCCAATTCATTTTTCATTATCCCAAAATTACCCCAATATACTATAGTAGTTTCCATTTTATTTTCCATTATCCACAGGGTTTTGAAACCCTGCTGGCGAAGCAGTTTCCTGCCCAGGACGCTATGGGACCGGCCATGGCAAGACAGCTGCCAAGCATCAACGGAGAAGTCCGGTTTTAAACCCTATAGTCCTTAAGTAGATGGAATATGGCTTTGGGCATGTTATAATAAGATCCCCATCTACTCCATATTCTATCTAGTTCAGGGGGACTATAAACCCTAAACCTTAAACCATTCTTTCCATTGAGCAACATATCAGCCTCAGGAGGCATAGCTAGAGGGCTCCCCAAGGACAGGCTGAACCATCTCTTTGCCCAAAATGTCTGGTCATCTTACGCTTCCTCTGCAATCTCAGGTGGAGAATGCCCAGCAGATCTCCGAACTCTGTATATTGCGCAGCTTGCCATTTGGTTCCTGGGACAGAAGCTATGCTTGGTGCGGGTGCAGGGCGGCGATTGTAGTGGTTTGTCAGGACTTAACAAAGTTGGCGAGGACAAACGAATACATCCAAGGTTTGTGACAGCCTTCTCGCACAAGTTTGTGGAAGCAAAGCACAACGATTATTTTGACGCTCGTTTGCAATTAATTAGAATTGACTTGGTATGCCATCGGCAGCATCTGCTGACAAGCTATGTCCTTGTCATTGGGTGTCTCTTAGCAAGATGTGTCTCCCTAAAGGTAAGTGTCATAGTGCAATGGTGGTGTGTTGTAGTTCCTCAATATGTGTCTATGGCATTCTTCTGCAGCCGATAGAACGTCTTTCCAGACATTTCAAGCCCAATTTAGTTCACTGGCATTCATCTTGGATAGGCTTTTAGCATCTCTGATTCCAGCCCAGGGCACTCATCCAGCCCAGCATGCGGCTAAGGTGATGTACGGACACCACGTTGCCACCTTGGGCCTGGTCTCCCTCTCTTACTTCAATGGCTGGCAGCCCATAGGCTCCGGGCTTACAAGAAAAGACTTAAGCGAAGAGCGTCTGACGTTCACATTGAACTGCTGAAAGGATTGAGCACACTCTTCGTGCACGATTCCTCTGATATCGTGGTGGATCTGCCCTTTGCCACAGTAAAGATGATTTGTTGGTGTTTTCTGGGTTGCTCGTGCAGGGAAAAGGGTTTGAGTAGCTGCCACCAGATCTTCCAGAAATGCAGACTTTAAACATGTTCAGCAGTGAAACGGCATCAATTAATTTCCTCATGGATGGGCCGATGAGCCAGATTGCAGACTGAAGCCACGCTTGCACGACATATTTATCAGCACGCCCCTGGATTATGTCAAGGCTCAAGATGGTGAACTACCTTGGGTATGATGCCTTGCTGCAAAAAAAAGAGGAGATGGAGGCTGCAGCTTGGGGACACGATGCTGAGATTGAGAAAAGCACGAGCTATGACACGAATTGTTGTCCAGCGTGCTATTCAGTTCCGGCAGTTTTGTGAAGACAGAAGAGCTCCTTTCAGGTGAGCCGCAGACAAGACAAGCATGTACTATAAAGCCAAGGACGCTAAAAGCGGGCTCTTCCTTGCAGAGGGTTTCTTTGCCATCAACCTCGTCACATGGTTCCTGATGCGCAGCCGGGCATTACATAGCATCTGTTTGTGGCAAGGGAGCACCTTCCCAGATGTCCCAAACCCATATCACGTAGGCTTGGATTGGTTGCTCTTGGCACCAACAGCATCCGAAATTGCTGGCCGCAAGTTGAGAGCATGAGTCCCCAGGCACGTATTTCTTCCTGTTGAAGGTCATCAGGCCGGGAAAGCTTTCGTGCCTTGCTGCAATCTCCATGCTTTGCGCACATGTCTTAGTGCCCTTCAAAGTTTCCGCAGGTCAACCATTCCGAAAGACCTCTTTGCACCAGGATGGGGAATCTCGGCGTTTGAAACATTCTGTGGGTTCGAAGTTAAAGGATTAACCGTAAGTGTCTTCAGCACTAACGAGCACAAGATTGTTTCGTAGGTGACTTCATGCTGACTGCACAGCATATTTCATTTTGCACAGCACAGGCCATCACTGCATGTGGATTTGTCTGTGAACGAAATCGGTCGTGAGGTGACTACAACCGCAGCGCTCCGCTGATCAGCCCTCAGATCCTGGGTATGCCTTTGGACATTTTTTCATTTTGGGGTGGTACTTACTAATATTTTCTGATTGGTTATCCGCAGTTCCGCTTCTCGCTATTGTTTAGGCACGTCGGACTGTGGTAGAAAGCTGTATCCCTAGGACCCACTCAACATGCCCCAAACATTACTTGACCCATAGTCTAAACTGCTCAAAGGAGGTTATATAGGGGATTATATAGGGCTGCCTTTACAGGGGATATAAAGGGGCATGCTAGGAGTTTAGACTATAGCCCACTTGTGTCCCCAGCAACCTACCCCACTAGCCTGTGTGCCATGGACTGCCTGCACACAGAAATTCCACCCTTAAAAACTCCAGTTTCCCTTAATACCCCTCTCCATAGCCTATAGGATGACGAGCCCCTGACCTCCATGACATGCATGTTGTCATGCTATCCAGGGTGATGTTATAGAGGAACTTTTGTCCTTGCAATGTGGGCGGTCATTTCATGGAGAAGCCTTCGTTTCATTCGAAGACCTTGATGCGCGGTGAAATCTCTTCTCATTTTGTTATTGGTGTTCATCATTATTTGATCGAAGTTGGCAAATGCGTCGCAGGTATGTTAGGGTTGCTTGCAGTCCCATCTTTGGTGAGGTACACCGGCCATTCTATAATGGTCGAATTGTTTTGTTTGATCAGGTCAGCTAGTCAGTTTATAGCGGGCTGGTGGTTGTGTTGGTATTTTACATCATGTGTTGCAAGCCCCCGCCCGTCATTTCATAGAGAATTGACAGTTCAGTAGTTTATGCCCATTCCACCCGGACGGCCGTTTCCTCGGTCACTTCTGTATTCAATAGCAATCCGGAGTCGGCCTGGGATATTCAAGGGGGTTCCCTTAAGATTTCTCGTGATCTCTGGAACCCAGGAACGCATGCAGGCTGTTGCTGATCGTCCTGAGCCTGATGCATGTGCATCCTGTCTGCTTACTAGAGGCCCATGCTGATAGATTTTCAAGCTCACCTGCTGTGGGCCTGGGCTGGTCATGGATAGCCTGTGCCAGGGAGTGTAGCGGCCAGAGCGTAGCCGAAGCACAACTTTTGCATCCAACTTCCTTTCTTTCCTGGCTCGCCAAATGAAGCTGACCTCACCTGAAAGGCATGATGAGATTGCATGACAAAACGTCAAGTGCGAAATTTAACAGGCACTGTCTGCATGAAAATTATTGAAGCTTTCTTGCAGCATGAGGTGCTGGATGCAGGTTTCTTTGGCCAAGCAATGAATTGCGGAAGGAGCAGTTAGTCAAAAAGTCTAGTGCACGTCTGCAACATGCAGGGCTGATATTTAGAGGTGCAAGGTACATGAAACTTTGCAACAAAAAGCCGTTGCGCACAAAATGCACAAATAATGACTTGATCCTTCCAGGTGTAGTGCCAATGGAACGCTTAATTAGTCCCCCATTGGAAAGCCCTGAGTGCACAATCTTATCAAACACGAAAATTCTGGGAATCTGCAACGCAAAAGGTTTTAGCGGAGAAGCTGTACTAAATCTTGAATTTAAGGGGCGAGAGCTGGGGTTGGTCGGAAGTGGAGTCGCACTCCTCTACTGAGGTATTGGTATTGCCTTTTTTGGCGGATCCTTGTACGACTCCTCCGGGGATCAGCGGGACATGAGGCTGGCAGAGAGTACGAGGCCTTACCCTGCACAGCAGTCATCCCTTTGAGTGTGGACGTTTTGGGATATCGAGTGACATACATCATGCTGCATCTGGTTTGCTGTGCCACCATGCCCTGTGGCCCCACCGTTCCAGCAGCAAACGGCACTTCAGTGCAGGGCAGTTCCGACTCCGAGCCGGAGGAGAATGGCAAAAAGGCCAATGTGAATGCACGCAAGCGAACATTTCGATTGCAGATGCTGACCGATAACTGGCCCGTACAAGTTTTCGGTGTGTGCTAGCCGCTGCACGTGGTGCAGATACGTACAGATTGAGTCGGGTGCTATGATGTGGGCGGGCATGGCATCATCGTAGCTGTTTTGATCTCTTCATTTCACAGTTAGTTTGCCCGTTTGCAGGCAAACGGCAACAAGAAGGAGTGAATGGCTTCAGGGCCCGTTTGCCATCCTGCTGACCTTGCAAAGTTTGAAGATGCAGGTTTCCTTTGGCGAAGTTCTCCATTTGAGGGGATTTTTCTGCCTGAATATTAATTGGTGTCCAGCGTTGTGAAGCTTTGTGCAGCGATGTGCAGCAAGCTTCTCCGGCTGCCCTTAGAGTGGCTGGAACAGCTGCATGGTCGGGAACTGCGTGACACGACAGGTTCTCTCCATGCCAAAGACTAGACTGGACCGTCACAAAGCACAGGTGGTTAGGCTAAGAGATTTATCTGACACTGTTCTCGGCCTTGTGCAGCTGTAGTCGTCGAAGGATTCCTCTGCACTATCTCAGAAAGAACCATGCCCTGCACGCCGGCAATTTAATGCAGAAGAGTGCCAACTTTGATAGGCAGACTCAGCACCGATCGTCATCATGGCCACCAACAGAGGGATCACCAACATCCGGGGTACAGACTACAAGAGCCCCCACGGTTGCTTGGCAATTCGGATGTTAGCATTGAGTTCAGGTTGAGCTCAAGGCGTGTGTATTTGCAGCAGAGAGGTAGCAGGCATCCAGCTTTAGGATTTGTGTTTCGCATGCAGGCACAGGTCCTGAATCCTTCAACAGTTGGGAGATGGCAAGCTGATAAATCAAGCCTATCTGGCATTTGGTGCGGTGGATAGGTGAATGGTCACCTTGGAGTGGCCAGATAACCGGACCTACCTTGCACAAGTGCTGTGCAAAGTGGAAAATGTTGCTCCGAGGTATTCCCCTGGACTTGCTAGACCGCATGCTGATCATCTCGACTCAGCCGTGCCCAGCCTCACGGATTCACTTCATAGCTTGGTGGTGGTAGTTTAGTAGCAGTGGGAGTGGTAGTCTTGGTATTGGTACTGCTATGAACAGTGCTTCCGCACCGCAACGACATACGATCGCAAGCGTCCGATCATTATCACTATTGTTTTTTGTTCTATTGCTGGTGCTCCTCTTCGCATGGCTTAGATTAGGCTTTGGTCGTTGATCTACTTCTGGCTTTTCTGGCTGTACTGGTGCCACAAGTTTTCTGTCTTTTGCTTGGAACCCTGTTTGTTTGCCAGAGGGAATCGGGGTTGTCCCAAAACAGGGGTACCTTTTTAGGGGTCCCCATAATAAGGATTATAGTAATGGGGTTTGCCTATTAAGGGAAACTACCAATTGTTGCTAAGAAAACTTGAAAGGGTCGCAGTTGTAATCGTAAATGTAGCAGGAGTGCCAATGTGAAACCGCTCCCAGACCACATGGGGGCTTGAGAATAATGTTCGACTAGGAAAGTTCAGAAGAGGTACACGCAGAGAGAGATCCGGAAGATCATTGACATCCGCGCCGAGGCCCTGTGCACCTCCCCTTGCAGACTTCATTAGTCAAGCGCCTTGGCGGCCCCCCCTCTCATTTCGCGGGGCCAGTCCCACAACGTTTTGTTTTATGGAGAAGGTGTTACTTGCAGCTTCCCAAAAGTCGCAAGTTGTACTTGTATGTTTTCCAGGCTGTGCTTTCGCCACCTCCTGGCTCAAACCTACGATTGTAGGCATAGTTTGACATGGCGGCCGGTTATGTGATTGCTCATAATTTCATGAAGCCGGTCCGAAGCTTCCAGCTCAAAACATAGGACATAGGTCATTTAATTTCGGCGCCGTAGAGGCTTGTCAGATGCAACGATATACAAGCTCATGCATATAGATTGCTGGTCACGCCTTAGGCCCAAGTATGATAGTCACTTATCTCCGTGACCTGCGTGTTGCGAAGCAATTACAGCAAATAAGACAAACACAGTTTAGGCAAAGACAGTTCGTTACCAGAGTTGTGCATTGGACCTCGCCAAGACAAAGTCCCAAGACTTGCCGCGTTCGTGGATACCCGCAGCGCGTTCCTGAGGCATCACACACCACAAGCACAAGACAGAATGCTTTGTGTGGTCATGATACACATCCGCCTGCACAACTAGGCGACCAGGGTTCAGCAGTGACGGGAAATTCATTCTCGCATTCCAAGGTTTGAGAAGTTCTCAGACAATCGGCAATGGCTGACTACTCAGATGTTGATGCGGGGGATATGGAAAACACCTTCAGGTTGGTCGGATTGCTCTGTGCTGTTGTACACAGCGAGGCTCCGATTCCATGGTCAGAAGCTGACCCCTTCAGCATCTCTATGTATGCCCAGGCCTCTTGGGCTAGGCAATTGAAGCTGCAGTCTCACACCCCCTTGCCTGCGCTGATGTTGCTTTTGGAGAGGAGTCAGCGTATTGGAGCAGCCTCCAAGAGAATGAGACGCTAATGCGCTATGGGCTCATCTACCTTGGTCTTGTCTTGCTTGCGTATCAAGGTACAGTCCCCCTTTGAGTAGATAGAATCTGGACTTGCCCAACATCATAGTAAGATCCCCATATACCCCACATTCTATCTACTTAAGAGGGACTACAATCAGATGGCCTGCCAGGTCTGGTAGGAGAGGGTTCTTGCCTGTCTTCGCATGACTTGACCCAGGTCTCTGCACAGACATGACGGCAGCAGCGGCCAGGAGTGAAGTGTGTCTGAAGTACTACTATTATTTTTACTATTATTCTTACTATTATTAGTACTATGTTTACTATTATTATTACCACCGAAGATGTGCATGGGCTGTTGGAGCCTACCGGAAGACAGCAAGAAACAATAGCAACAGCAACAACACTTCAAACATATTTTTATTAGGGAGAGGAACCTTTTCGTGGTCATAATAGTCATACTAGTAATAATTGTAGGAATAACAGCCATAGCATTAGTGATATTTTCGTAGTAATAATGACAACCATGAGAACAATAGAAATAACAAGTGAACCCTAAACCCGAAACCCTGAACATCTGACCGCGCGGAAATCATCAAAAACAACCAATTCTATTTTCCATTAGCCCTACATAACCCCGATCACTAAACCCTAAATTATAGTTTCCATTTTCTTTTCCATTATCCCCATAACCCCAATAACTAAAACCCTAAACCCCTCAGGGGTACCTTAGCATCATCAATGCCCGTTTCCAGGAGCAACGACGCCGTAGAGGCCCAAGTTGAGCAGCTCTGCAAGCTGTGCTGGGCTTCAGCGCTGGAGGCCTGGGATCTGGATTTAGGCTTTAGGGTTGAAGAGTTAGGTTTAGGATTTAGGGTTAAGGGTTTTAGATTTAGGGTTTGGGAATTAGGGTTTAGGATTTAGGGTTTGGGGTTTAGGGTTTGGGGTTTAGGCTCTTCGGATACTGTAGTCCACGATATAGAGTAAGATGATATATCATCTTTTTGGGATATAGTGTCTTCTATGCGGAATAGAGTTTTACTAGGTTCAACCATCAAACAAAACGGTATTGATTCCATAAGAAGGTGGCCCCCAAAGCATTCCAATATGTTTTCATCATGATTCTGTGAACTACAAAAACCCCACTTAAGCCGACCTTATAGGGATGCATGAAGAATCATATGGAACAGAAAGTTGGACAAACGGAGTGGAAGGTGGAATTCTGCACTTCTCCTCATTTTTGAAAGATAATTGTCGAAATAGCGGCAGTGTTACTTTCTCACATTTGCGATGATGAGTGGCCCTCACTGATCTCCATAGTGTTACCACAATGTAGTGTCCAAGGCAGTTATCGATGTAGTACGAGTAGCGCGAGTATGCGCTGCAGCAGATGTTGGTGTGCCACTTCTTGTCAAGAGCAGGACACTCCTTCCACTCTCTGGTTCTCAGTCTCAATCCTTGAAGGCTGTGGACTGTCATACGCTGCTTATTGCAGCTCGCGCGGAGGTGGGTCAGAAGTTGCTTCTGTCAGCTGCTATGACAGATGGCTGGTTAGTGATCTTGGGTTATGGGCAACACTTTCTCCATCGGGTGCTTTGCAGCTGCTTGCTTTTTTGTACTTCCTCCTTTGCGCAATCTCGTGGGAACTTCTTCGGGACTTTGCTCCCTGATGCTTGGAAGCGGAAAGGCAAGGGTTTCCAGTTGTGGCAAAATTCTCAGGGGCCAACACTCCATCCACACTTTGCGCGCGTTTGTTTGTTTTCGCTGGCAAAACCTCGTGATCCAGCCAGGTAGACCACTTGAAGCGTCGGCTGTCACGATGTAGCCTGGCCAAGACCAAGCAGCTGATTTTTCCTGAGGCAGGCTTTTAGGTAATTTCGTGACGTAATCATTTGATCTTATCATGTGGTCTGCCATGGCATGATGCACTCTTGCGTAGAATCATCTGTGACCGGTCGCTTTCAGATCTGATCATGACCCCAGCGCGCAGGATGAGCTGCCCAGGTCCGACAGGCGGACAGAAGAACTCTTGCCGCTATTCTCGCTATTATAACTTGTATGATCATTAGTCCTGCCAAACACCCCATTGTATAATATTATAAAGAGTAACTTGTGTGTGTGGGACTTCTCTCGTGATCTGGTTCTCTGGCCTAGCCAAAGACTGTTTGTGGTTGGAAGCCTGCACTTTGAGAGGAAGTCTTGACGCTGAATCCCTCTGGCTCATGTACTATACTCCTCTCCTCTGTGCACGTCACTGCTAAGTAGAAGTGGATCTCCACTTATGGCAGCGTCTTGGAGCGAGAGGTCCCGCTTCGAAGGCCGCAGCTTCATGGACCAGGACCAGCTTTCAGCTGCATGGGCTTCCTATTTTGTGGCGCGCTTGATCTCGGAGCTCTGGTTTCGGAGGATCAAAGAGACTTGGTCTTCAGCGCAGCTTGGGATGAGCAGCTGACCAAGTCTTGAGGAATTGAGAGGATCCATGCCAGAACATGGGAGCAGCATGCTTGCCAAGGTTTCGGGACGAAGGGCCACCGCCAAGAGGCAGCGAGATGCAGTGTGTGTGTGCGCATGTTGACAGATGAATCCGACCGCAACAAAAAGCCTGAGGTTGATCGTAGACATTTGCTGCAAAGACCCCCCCCAGCTGCTTTTTTAACAAACAAACTTACTAGGCGACAGCGGCGACGAGATCCCAGTGCTGCTTGACATCGGTGTGAACACAGAGGTGCTCTCTTGATCTTTGCCACATGGGGCTTAATCCTGCACGCTTGAACATACTTGTGCAACCTTGAGCAGATGACATCAACATAGTGTTTTCAGACCCGTTCTTGCTTGCGTGCTCGAGGCCACCCTTTCCACCTGCAGAGCCTCCAACAGCTTTCGTATGCAGGAGGCCGCAGAAGACACGGCAAACCTGCGGCGGAGCTGCGAGGAGCATTGTACTCATATTGACACTTTATAGCCTCCATAGATAGGGGGACCCCAATATAGCCCCAGTATATTATAATCCTCATCATAGGGACCCTGATAGCAGGAGTCGTCTCTCAAGCCTTCTGCAGTGTATCTTTGTGCCGGAGCTCAAAGTCCTAGTGCCTGTCTATCTGGGTGCGTGCCTGCCAGGAGCTCCAATCGCGGCTCACAACTGCGGAGGTTTGCTGAACTTGAGCTTGAAAGGATGAGATTCCTGATTTTTTGGGGGTGATCATAATTTCCTGACAGCTGGTCCAGGCATTCTTGCAGGTTTTTATGGACTCTTAAGTATCCATGTCGAGAAAAGCTCAAGTTATCACTAGGCTCTTATGATTGCCATGACAGATTTCACCAGTACTGCGTATTCTACATACCTATTTCATTACGGTTAGCCTGATCGATTGGCGGATGTGCTGTGCAGAAGGCACCGCCTGAGTTTTTCCAGCAGAACGGCTTGCAATATGCTTCGGTAACATGGTAACTCCCTGCCCCTAATATGAACCACCCAAATTTCAAATGAGCAGCAGCAGTTATTTAGGCAAGACAGTGGAAGGCTAGGGGCGTTGGTATTTTTGCATTTGGATTCAGCGTTCCTCTGGGAACGAGATAAAGGGCCATGGATTGAACGAGATAGGCCACAGTTTCTTGTGCAATAATAAGAGCCCGGTACATATTCCAACATGGCGAACAAGATCAGGTGGTTTGGTCAAGGTACAATGCTACATTGAATATAAGGCCAACGAGACGAGGGGCTGTGGATTAAAATGCCGCATAAGGCTCAGGTAATGAATAATAGTCGGCACTCAGATGTTCCCAGTACATTATGGTGTGCCACAATGGAAACATTTATTGTAGGCTGGTGGTGGGGGTGTCAGATATTGGGAGGAGGAGTTTGAATTACATTCTCTACTAGGCCTCCAGCCCTTCTGTTTTTTCCGTTCATATTGCTACTGCTATTGATTGTTATGGTGTTTCGTACTTGCTATTTTTACTTTTATTGCTACTCCTATTGTTTGTCTTGTTATTTCTTCTTGTTTTATTGCTACTAATACGCTCGTCTCAGCAGGCCGAGGCGGTTCGGCTGCAGGGCGATGTCTCGCACCTGGAGGCACGCCAAACCTGGTCTAAAGTGCTATGCACTCTTGACATCTTGGGGGGATACAGGGGCAAAGGAGAGTCGCATGGAAAGGAAAATGGAAAATTGAATGGAAACAGTGATCATGCAGTGGTTCATAGGCTCAGAGGGTTTTAGCCAGGGCGAAGTAGGCGGTCAATGGGGCACAAGCCCACGAATCAGGGTTAGTCTGCTTACAACCCCGTGTATATCCTACTGTCTGAAGCCGCGGCTTGGAGCGCAGTCGGACATACATGGGGGTTTCCGAAAATTAGGGGTGCCCTCTTGGGGGTCCCAATAGTAGGGTTCTAGGTGATTCTAGTATTCCTGGGTCCGTATTGGGGTCCCGCTACTCAGGGAAGCTATCACATCTGCAATCCGCAGAGCGGCTTCTTGAAAGCCTCGTTCTGCATCTTCGCTAGTACCTGCAGCCTTCCAGCCTTGTGCTCTTAGAATAGTAGGAATAAGAAGCGACCCAAAAATCAAAGGGTTGTACTTACTGGTGCTTAGGAGCGATTGAGATAATATAATCCCCGTAGAATCCCTATAGCAAAGAATCCTTTATTCCCTAGTAACCCCCGGGTAAGTATAGGGCCTGTAAGAGCACTACAGGGTTTGGGGCTGTGGCCTGCAGGAGCAGCTCTGCGAGGCGGTCGAGGCTTGGAGGGTGAATTCTTCGACCAGCCTACTTGCAAACAGTGGATCTTGTTGAAACAACTTCAGCTTCAGATCTTTCTAGTGTGTGTGTGTGTGTTAATATTAGGGTTATACTGTGATTATATTGGGATAATGGAAAATAAAGTGGCAACTACTATAGTATATTATGAAGAGCACTGCCTTGTTGGTTAAAGGCGCTGCAGTGATGGCTTTTGCTTGCTGATTGCCAGGAAACCCGCGCCGCGAAGGCTGGGCAGCTCAAGTAAGTCTGCAGGTTTCAGATGCCATTCAACTTCAATACGTCTTAGGAACAGGCAGGGCGCAGCAGACGTAAAGTCTAGAGGTCCTGCAAAAGACCTGGATGATACAACTGTTATTGCTATTATTACTACTATTATGGTTGTTTTTACTATTATCATTAATATTGTTATTGCTACTATGCTTATTATTAGGATTATCACAAACAGTTGGCAAAACACCTGCTGCCAGGGCCATCTTGCAGAGGCCCTCGAGCAACTCACCGAGGCCCAAAGCGCTGAGGCCGACTGGGCTATCTAGGGGTTAGATGGGGGTTGTATATGGGTTATGTAGGGGCGATGCATGGGTTATATAGGGGTATATAGGGTTTAGGGTTTAGGGTGGAGCTCTGGTACATGTTGGGCCTCGAATTCAAGATGTGTGCGGAGGCCATGTTGCAAGGAGCCTACGAGAAGCTGCAGGAGGACCTGTCCAAAAGAAACTCAGTATCCCAACTAACTTCTCAGAAGCTGGTCTAGGGCTGAGCAAGAGTATGTCAGTTGCTGCGCTAGAAGATCCTAGGGATGTGATGATGTTCGAGTTGTAAGCCGTTTTCTCTTCCATACTAGGAGCACGAGCTGGAGATCAAGCTCCATGAGGACAGCAGACACGAGGCTGGTTGCCACCAGTGTGTCTAATTCTTGTTTGAGACTGTGGGTTTGCTTGTCGAGTGAGGTGGCCCGTCTTCAGTCTGAAGTCATACGATATCGAACTGCGGACGTGGCCTCTCAGGACTCTGCCTGTTTCCGCTGTGCGTTTGCGGAGTGGCACAAGCTGAGCACGTTGATCTTATTAAACCCGCTCGAAAGTCCGCTGGCTTTATTTGGGAATTTGAGCAGACCACACAGGCTTCCATGCTGCAGCCCAACTCGTGGTACCGCTAGCAAGGATGAACTCGCCTTACATTTGTTTGTTGTTCGCATACGCCGGCACTTGTCTACCGGCTCATGCTTGCATGCGTCAGCCGGAACTTGATGATTGCAGAATGGATTCCTATCAAATTTCTAGTGGCCCACATGACTGCGATGGGTGGGGTGGGTTTCCGCTTGTGGTCCCCAGCAGTTCAAAAAGTCTGCCACGAACCGCAATTAAGTTTCACGTGCAATTTTCCAAGGATCCCTGGGTCTCTTCATTTGGAGTTGTCCCCTTCCTGGAAAGCCGTCGCACTAACGAGTGACCAAATCTCGCCCACAGGACAAAAAGGCTTTGCCTTCTGGCCGTCGCCCTTCCAGGAGGCCTCTCAATGCTGCGGCCCAAGTGGACATCATAGCGCTAACGCTGCTTGTGTATGATGAGCATTGCCGGAGCAATCTGATTATCATGATTTGTATGGCAAACGTCATGGGTACTGTGGCCAAAGCACTTGATACTGTTGATGTCTACGTGTCCGCTCACATCGCCCTTTTCGAAGCAAGCTTGAGTGGAAGCTTCCGAAGCTGACTGTGTCCAACTCAAGTAAAGTTCCAACAAGTGCTGGAGGCAAGGGAGTACAGCAGAGGTTATCTAGGCAATTGGCCCTAACAAGGAATGCCATGGCCTTTCGCTACCAAATGTCCACGGTTTTGGGGGATGCCAGGGAAAGCACGCATCTCTTGAAAGCTCAACAGCTAGCTTGATCTCAGCTGAGCCTGTCTTGGGGTTCTTCCAACCTAGGACAGTAGGCCGCCCTCCTCGCCGCTGCCGCTTCTAGCCGGCTCCTCCGTCAGCGCGCGTCCTAAGATGCTGCTGGCTCACCAGAGGTAAAGCATTAGCGCTGCATGTCAGCCCAATCCAGAAGAGTGCCAGTCCCCCGACTTGCTGGCATATCTGGTTGCATCCAGGCAGCGCATTGCATTTTGGACCGTGCTGCTCAGGCTTTTCCGACGCAGCTGCTACGCTTCGCGAAGTGGAGTCAGTGCTCTAAGAGGGCTGTGCAGAGAGAATTTCCGTCAGTGTCTTCACTGCCATGCATCCCTTGTCATGGCAGATTTTGGCTAACGGAAGCATCCGAGCCGCTTATCGTAGAGACTTTTCCAGCGATTGCGTTGGAGTTTGTGTACTGTATGTACTGCTGCACGGCTTGGGCTCTGCTCATGCAGATGCACCGTTTCCAGCGAGAACCTCCTGGCCTCCTGGTCAAAACCTTCACGCTCAGATACATGCAGCTGACTAGCGCCTCAAACACGGTGGCCCTGAAGTCTCCATGCAATTGCCTGCTTGCCGGCCGTTCCTGCGGAAATCAGGTCGCCGGGCTTTACGCTCCCGAACCGACGGAAGGCGATGCAGGCGAGGAGCTAACATCAAGTACACGAGAAACAGATGCCGACCCACCAGCATGGAAGGTCTCAACCTCCTTACCCTCGTTGCAGCGGAGCGGTGCCGAATCTCAAGGTCCCAGCACGTTATTTGAGCATCTACCTACAACTAACAAAGTGGAGGCAGTGAGTGGCGGGGCGTGCACCTGCCTCTAAACAAACTTACTGGTGGTCAGTAGGAAAGTATTGTATACGGATTGTATAGAGAGTATATTCCTTCATTCCCCACCAACCACCGGTAAGCAAAGTGCACACTGCAGGCCAAAGCTCGCTGTTGACCGCTCCACGCAGTAAGAGGCGAAGGGATCACTCTGCAGCTTCTAAAATTTTCCTTTCAAGCAGTTAAATCCGGGTCCCTTATGTAAGACATTCAGATGCAGGCGGTAGTTGAGGCTATGAGGCTGTTGGACCATGATGCCGTGGAGTGGTTCAATCGACTTACCTGGGCTGTGACTCCAAGCGAAAAGGGTGGCCTTTGGCGCAAAACAGCTGCTTAAATCTAAGATAGCGCCCGGGTGAACCAGGGTAACTTTTCGGCCTCATGCAGCACTCATCATGCCCCTCGCGCATGTGGGGCGTCTTATTCTGTGCATACAGACCAAAGTCCAAGCGTCAAATTTGCCAGCGCAGAAAATCATGATTTATATGGGAGACTTCTAGACCTGATCGGTTTGTTTGTCTGCCAAACAAGACTTTGGAAAAGGCTCATAGGTTGAAATTTCCAGCCCCAGTCAGAGCTACATGAGCTACTGTCAATACTAGCCTTAGCGAGGGACCATTAAGGGTGAACTTAGGGGTCCCTCTTGTAGTTTAGTGCAGTCCCTAATCTATTCCCTACTAATGCAACATGTCCATTAAATTCTGTAGGAAATAGTGACAGTAGCTCACATGAGCTACGCAGCCTCCTGCTGCGCAACCGGCACCTCTTGCTAGGCTCATCCGACCGTGGATCTCAACCCTAAACCCCCAAATCGTAGTAGTTTCCATTTTCTTTTCCCTTGTCCGTAATAGAACCCCAAGATATACCCCTCATCATATAGTAGTTTCCATCTTCTTTTCCATCATCCCTACAAAACCCCAAGATATGTTCCAAAAAATGTGGTAGTTTACATCTTCTTATCCATTATCCCTATACAACAAGGATCAGCCTGACAGGCCTTTCGTGCTCTGAGTCACTCTGAGCCTCCTGCAAAGCGGGTTTGAAGGCGAATTAATTTTCGCCAGGGCCGAACCGTGAAGAAGTAAGTTCTGAGGCAGCACAGTCGTAGTACCCACACCTTGCCAACATTCGCAGTTGCGCCAAGGTTGTTTCAATTAGGGTAATATACAGCTAGGGTATGAGCCTGGCAAGATGCTTGATCATTCATTTGGGGGATCGCAGGTCCCAACCCAAGATGGGATTCCAAACTCTTGCTGCTGTCCCAAGATGTCGTGCACCACTAAGTGCTGTGCACTCTTGAGCAGCTACCAACTCAGCTGAGAAGGGTTGGCAACACTGAGCAGAAGCGAGATTGGAGTGTCTTATGCGTTGTGTCGAAACATGGTACTGGGTAGCAACAGCAAGCCGCACTGGAGTCCCCACAACCTATGTATGTGGAATGATGCTGCTGATGAAGTTTCCTAACTCAGGGTTGTAGGGGCCACTGATTTTTGGAAACCTTAATTAATCCCTACACTAGCCGCGATCCAATCGCAGTTTGCATTCTATTTTCCATCTTATTAGCCATTTGATGCTCCATTGCTTTGGGGAATAGCTCCTTAACCCTAAACCCCTGAACCCCATATGACCATGTTTTCTAGCAACTGACCTTCCCTTCCAGCCGGCGGCCATGCCAACATGTGTTTGGCATGCGCAAGCCGCTCACGCCAAGAATCAGGATACTCCGTACCTGAGATGTTATTCTCCTTTCCCTGCGGATACCTGGAGTGCGTCAAGATGATACTATCCTAAGCCAAGTGGGGGAGTTGATCTGATGACTCTGTTGTCTTTACTTCCTGGGGGTCAGTAGGGAATCAGGCAAGACATAAGCAATGCATTGGGATTATATGGGGACCTTACTCCCTCATTCCCTACTAACCACCAGTAAGTTTATGGGTTTAGATTGCATGACAAACCCTAAGCCCTAAACCCAAATCCTAAACCCTAAACCCTAAAGCCCAAGAGGCGCTTAAAAAAGAAAAAAAAGTCCAAACCCTAAAGCCTAAACCATATACCCATTGCATCTCCAGGGCCCTCGCACAGTAATGTTCGCTGGCGAAGAAGCCACTGGCTCTGTGGACGGCGATGACAGTTGCAGCGACTTTTGATACTGGAGATCCCTATTTTCCCTATAGATAGTAGTTATTAGGTATCCCTGTATTCCCAATAAAAGCCCAATGGATAGTACTTTCCATTTCATTTTGAATTTCCTTTTCCACTTGATTTCCCAGTGTTGGGATTTTGTATTACATAGTCAGAAGCCTTGGTAGGGTGTAGCCAATGGGCCTGCCATCCACAGCACCAGCGTGCATTCGAGGAGTGGACTGTCCAGAACCCTTTGGCTGCTAGGGATTTATGTTGTCATTGGGCCTCATTTCCTGCTTGTTCTATCTTGGTATGTAAGCGTTGCAGCTGACCAGCTGCCTACATGTCCGTATGCAGACATCGTTTAGTAATGCACGCAAGGTTATGAGATGGAGACATGCCGAAGCTGGATGAGTCTCTGTGTCACCGCCCAGTCTAGCTTGGCGAGTCCACGCTGAGAGAATAGACTTCTCAAGCAGCTCAGCGCTGTGCGGGGACTAGGTGACAACGATCCAGCTTACCGACACGGAGGGTGGCCTTCTCAAGCATTAGCAGCGTGTCGGGGTCTGGAATTGGATTAGCACAGGCGCAAGGAAGCTTGATTGCCACTGGTATCCATCCTTTGCATCAAATGCGCAAATCTGAGTTGCAAGAATTTCCCCAGCTGTGCTGCTTTGCCAGCTTCGTCTAACAGAAGCTACCCAACTGAAAGACCATGCCTGCAGTGACGATCCATCAACACAGCATTTGCGGTCTGACAGGTATGGTCCTGTGGTAGACTCCTGATGGTTGGGAAAGGTGACCGTCGAAGATGGTTGACATGACTATCCGCTGTTACAGCAAAAGCCATCGCATGCAAGGGTGCAGGATATGTTGTTGGCAGTTTGTCGCCTTTGTTGCACTCCACTCCCTGCGAAAGGAAGAGGATGTGGAGATGACTGAAGAAGCCAAGGATGTGAACTGAAGCCATGGGTATACGGTATACGTATCCCACCTTCTAATCTTCAGGCTTGTGAAGAGGCCCTTGAGGCGTGCACAAAACCCTCGTGGTGCACAGAACCGCTGGACATGCCAGTTCTCATATTTCGAGTTCCTACCAAGACAGCGCGGTGCCTGCAAGTGACAGCTGCAGCCTGCAGCATGTTTAGTCTGGCAGGGGGCAGAGCTATGATGTGCCAGGAGCTTCTCACCAAGATCGGCACGGAGAGCACGCTGCGGTTGACTCCTAAGCAACAGGGGCAAATGGAAACTATTATATAATATATATATATATATGCGCTAATGTTTTTTGGTTTGTAATTCCAGTTAGTATTTTCCTTGTTTGTTTGTTTGTTTTCCATTTTTTGCTCTCAAAAAAAGGCAAGAAATTAGGCGTTTCACTGCGCTGGTCATTACTTTTGCATCAGGGGTGGGTTCCTGGGGGGTACCATATATATATATATATATACCCCTATAAAGCCCCCCTATGTATACCCTATATAACCCCTATAGGATCCCTATATAATACCCTATGGAAGCAGCCTTGGTCATGATGTGAAACGCAGGGTTGGCGATATGACTTCTGAAGCTGAGGTACGCAATTCATTTGATCACCTGCTCCAACCTTGTAGCGATGAAGCGAAAGGCCGTGTGCACAGACTCGGGGCATGTAATCTCATACTGAAGTGGGAGTAGAGGGTCCTTGGCTTCGACATGCATTTTTTCATGCAGGGTGAATAGTGATCCAGGTGAAGTGTATTCACCAGTACAGGCAGAGGTTCGAAGCGGCATAACTCTGAAAACGCACTCGGCAAGTGGGCTCCCCCACAATTTCCCTGGCTCTCGGCCATGGTGCCGTTTTGCTTCGCAAATCTCGCAAGGCACAGGAGGTTGATGTCCAGGACATCCGAAAGGCGGGCAACGAATCATTTGCAATTAGCTGGTTCCATTCCTTGCTGGCCTCATGCACGTAGCTTGGCCCGGTGCAGGTCTACTCGCTCTTTGTGGATGTGAAGCGGTCCACGCAGTTCCTGATGGAGTGCCCCGAGAAGATTCTGCAGCAAGCGTGGCACAGAACTGGCTCAAACAACTTGCCATGAAATAGCTGCCAAGCTCTCAGATGAACTGCACAACATCGGCCTGCTATGCCAGGTATCAGCAAGAGTTCATGTTCTCCGAGGTGCACGAGGAGGAGGTCCAGTTCCATGCATGCTTTCTAATAGCATCACGGAGTTCCGGCAGGGCCATGCTAGAGTTTCAACATTCAACGTAGCCATCCATGTTAAGACAAGATGTGCTCCTCCGGGATTGACCATGATGATCATGATGCACTGTCATCCTGACATTTGGGAATTCGCTTTGCTTGCTAGATGAATGCCACCTGTCTCATCCAGTGTGCCAAGCAGATGTACTTGCCGGGGATAGACCCCGCACACTTAGCTGGCATGCTTGTCTGCGAGGATTCTGAGATGCCTCAAGCGAAGGTGCGGTTAAGCTGGGGAAGCTGCCATCACCTAAAACCATCTGTTACTCTTGTGGCACAGGCCTTCAATAAGCCGTAGTAGGGCAGTGGCCGAGTTTGCAGTACAGGTTTCAATTAGGTGGGAACTGCGTGTGCGTACTCCATATTATCATCTGGCATAAAGCACGGATGGATCTAGACTGTAGCCAAGTAGCCAAAGAATGCACATATGGGGCAAGAACTGCTGCTGCGGCGACTGCTAGATTCAGATGAGCGTTGGGAAGCTGCCAGGAGAGCTGATGCATGCTGAAGCCCAAGGAGACTGATCTTTGCAACATGAGTCTCGTTCACGTGAAAGCTCCACATCTATGCAGGATCTGCTGTCACCTGCTGCACCTTTCGCCTGCATCGCCTGCATGACCCATGGACCTAAACTATGCATGCCTGCATTGATCTAAAAAGATGGCGTCTTACATTGCACTGAATGTGCTGCCCTGCGTTGTAGGAACCCTCGCATACTGCATGGCCGCGCAACGTCTCGCAGTTGATCATTTGAGCGAGTGTCAGTGGGCATGTGCAGAGTAGCCTTCTCACACCAAGTTCTACAATGCTCGCATTCCTTGGCTCCAGTGTACACTGGTTTTTGCTTGGGATCCTTTATACGCAGGTACCCACATCCGCTGAATGCAAAAGATTTGAGTTGGGACTGCATGCATGTCAGGTTCCCATGTCACCTTGGACAGCTCTCCCAAGCAAATTTCCGGTTTCTAGTGTCAATAAATGAAGTGCTTCCTGAACCTGGCCTGATGCCTCTTCCCAGGCTTGCCAGATGGCGGTGGGTTAAGGTTTAGGGTTTAGGGTTTAGGGTTTCAAGTTTTGGCTAAAGTCAGTGGCGGAGTTTCAAGAAACGCCTTTTGGAGGGTTCACGTGAAGGTGCAATAGTAATAGTAATCATGGAGCTAGTAATACTACTAATAACAGCAAGAGCTAGTAAGAACAATGAGAATAGGAATGATGGTAACAGTAATAGTAATAGTAATATTCTAATACTACTAGTAAAAGTAATAGTGGTAGTAATAGTACTAGTAAAATTACGCGTACGTATAAACAAATAAGTTTGTTTTTTACATGTACGTGTAAAACACATCATACTGTAAGTAATATTGCAACCCTAAGCCCTAAACCCTAAAAGGACTTTCAGCTGCCCCATCTGCCCGAGGCCTGCATCTGAGTCCAGCCTCCACCAACCGGGAAAAGCCGACGACTTGGCTTTAACAAGCTTGAATTGAGAGAGTCTACGCAGAGACCTACTGGTTCTTAGTAGGGAGTAAGGGAATATAATCCCCATATATCCCTATATAGTATCCCTTATCCCTTACTAAGAACCAGTAATAGAGAGTCTACGTGAAGGAGAAGAGCATGAACCTGAGGAACTTCATACAGACCAAAAGCAACCGCACCGCAGCTCTGTTGTAGATGTAGCTCACTGCAGACGGGGCGCCTGACCTGCGCTGGGTCCGTCGCCCTCCGGGATTTCAACAAGGACAGAGGTTGGAGCCAAGTCAGGGAGGCACCCAGATGCTTTATGAAGCCTCTGCAGCACGCTTTCACACTGACTCAAGTTAAAGCTGCGTTGATCCATCTCATGCGCTGCCCTTGGCCAGGATCGCTTGGCTGCGCAGGACCTAGCAAGGCGCACTGATCGCCTTGAGGCTTTGAAGGCGCAGCTTTCCAATGCCCTTTTCCAATCAGGAGGTCATCTTCTCCCGAGTAGGATTGAGAAAAGCTCGAGATGTCCGAGCGTGTGGGTCATTCCATTCAGGTAAGAGAGCTTCAACTCAGCTTTGTGGACCCTACGCTCAGACAGAGCCACCCAGTTCCATGGTGAAACCGTTGCCCAAATGCCCAACACGGTCCCGCATGAAATGCTATGCAGCGGAAAATTTGTGGTCCACTAGATTCCCTTCTTGACTCATCTTGCCTGGTCAAGCGGACATAGGCTGGTGCTTCGTCGCAACGCCTTGCAGGATGCCAGGAAGGGAAGGATGAGTGGAGGAGGAAGAAGCGGGCGTGGGGGCGCCGGGCGGATGGATCCGCGGCGACATGCGGCGACAAATTAGCATCTGACCGCGTTAAAAGAGGTGATCCGAGTGGACAACCTCACCACGCCATTTTGCGGCGTAGGTCGCCGGAGCATGTTGGCATGTTGTTGACCAAGCGCGACTGTTTCCCACTGGTTTGGCATTTCCAAGATTCGACAAATTGATCCCTCACAATGCGCAGGGACCAGCTTGGGTTCCTCATCAGCCATTGACGTTTTTGGATAGTGCGATTCGGTATGCAGGCAAGACGACGTCCTAGCGTCCTGACAGCGGCTGTCGAGGCTTCCCTGAGTCATTTGGATGTATAAGCTGTTTGTGTTGAGCGAGGTGCAGAGCCAAGTCCAGGTTATGTATTCAAAATCCAGCAAAATCCTTCACTGGGACTTGCAGATCGAGAGACGAACAAGTTGAATCTTGCTGGGAATCTGGTAAGGATCAACAAGCAAGCTTTGATGTGTATCTCAGCCGAATTATGAACTTGTCGACTTGTATTGAAGGTTCGGAAAGGGGCTTCAGTGAAAGGCAGCCCCCCCCCCCCGGCCACCGGCCCTGGCTCCTGAACCATCTTTCAACCTTTGCCAGAGCTCGGCTGCCCCGCCACTGGTTCGTGCCCCGCGGCGGCTCTCCACTTCTTCGAGGCAAGATGTCGCTCTGTCAAGAAAGGGTCTTGGGATGTGGAGATCCTAGATTGCCTGTATCAGACAGTTATCATGAACAAGGGTGACATTAGGGTCGTTAGAGGCTGTCGACGAACAAAGGGCATGCAAGGTGGGGCAAGGGCGGCCGCAAGACAGTTGAGTCACAGAAGGGTCCTAGTCTGCAGACCATTTAAGATTGATGATATAGCTGCAGCACATGCAACAGTTGAAATGCAGAAAGATGCACCCACAACTAAGAACAAGCAAGACAGCACACGCGCGAAAGCCGTACAGTTCAAGCATCGACACTAGAAGCTGTGGCAACATTTGGTGTTTGTTTGGCTCGACTTTGCACACTCGCATCTTCTGCCGCGAGGGTAAAGCCCATGCCGTCTGGAAAGTCGGAGGACTCAAGTCATGTCTCTCAGGTAGTCTGCATGGTGCCTGAATGCTTGCAAACCATGACCATTGGACCAAAGCTAGCTCAGAATACTTTATTGACGCACGCATCGTGGTCTCCAGGAGTGGCACAAGACGAAAGTCCACGACGTTTTCAAGGAGCTAGATTCAAAAGATCTCGGTGAGGCAGAAGCTCGTGATTGTGGAACTTGCTGCAGATGCTGACGCCGTTTGGTTGGTGTCTAGTATAGTCTTGTCTATTACCGCTTCCACAGACCGTCAGACACCCGCGATTAGTAGGTGCCTTTTTAGTGGCAAAGGTGGCGGGCAACAAGTTAGTGTATCCCTTTTGCTGGTACATACCGGTAAACTGATATGCCTGCGCCGTGCGAGGTCAGCGTGCAGGACTTGCAGGTTTCCTTCGCTAAAATGCCAGCAGCCTCAGCAAACGGACGGTGCCCCGAAATCTAGCTGGGATGACTGACTTCTCTAGCTGGGATGATTTTCGCAGCGGAGCTTTCCCAGCAGCTATCATGCTATCAGTACGCGCGTTTCAAATTACTGGCTTCATTCAAGCTGCCAATGGTGTTCCTCTCTGACGTGTGCAGCATGGGCTCAACATAGAAGTGTATCCTTGTCCACATCCTCGGACTGCATACGCTTCTTCCGTTTCCAACTGGCCATCAGGATTGTTGAGCTTGCAGTCTGCGTGCGGGAGCTGCTGAATTTATGCTTAAGGAATATGGCCTTGGACAACGAGACCTTTGCAAAGTACAAAAGTCAGCAAGCCTGCCGCGATTGGCAAAGGGTTACTTCTGCTAGGTTATAAGCCACTGTTGCAGCTTTACTCAGAATGAGGTCTTCTGGATGGCAAACGTGTACTGTCGCATGCGCCGACAGTTCGAGAGACGCAACTCGAATGAACCCAGCTCAATCATGCCAGACTTGCCGCCAGGATTCTCCCAAAGGGCTCGGGCCCTTGTTGGATCATGCGGAAAGCAGTTCAACGTTGCAAGGGCTGCCTCTACAAATCACGCTGCTGAGGCTGTGATAGCGTTTCTTTGGAATCCTTTGTGAAGTTCCATCAGGCTTGGCATCGCCTTCACTCCCGCCCAACAGCGCACGTTGTATCCTTGTTTCCTTGATGAGCCTGTGAGGCAGTGTGGGACAACCAGCCGCCGTCAGTGCGCCGCTTTGCTGGCTGCCCGGAGGTTGGACTTTGAGACTTCCTTCCAGTTCTGCACTCATGGGTGAGAGCTAGCAACATAACATAGTCGAGAGTAACGCGCAAAACCCTAACTCCAGCAAAACGGGGTCTGTAGGCAACGTGCTCATTTACGCACAGGCAGGCGGAGACAGCACTGGCTCGCGTCAGCCTCAATCATTCAAAGGATGAATTCAGGTGATGCTGCTGCCATCCAGAGACCTTGTGAAGCTACTTGAGGCTGCACGTTGGCCTCTCACCTCTGTCAAAATCGAAGCCCAGGGCTCAGAGGTGCTACTTCCGCTTGCCTCAATCCACGTGGGATCCTGGCACACGAAGATGTGGGGGAACCTGCATTTCTCTTCCCGTGAGGTTTCTATTTGTGCAGATGTGTTCGCAGGAGTTGTAGCTTGGAAGGCTAGCCCAGATTGAAATCATTCACTGCTCCAAGGGGTTCACTGCGGCAGCTGCCGTTGGGGCCTCAGATATAAGCGATTCCTGATCAGCTCAACCTTCCACAGGCGACAGACACGGGCATCAGAATCGTCAGAAGCCTGTGTGCCCCCTTATCCAAGGAGCATGAAGCTGCCAGGGCCAAGCAAAGGTCTCTTCAAGGAGGCCCTTGAGAATGAGGCGGGAAACCAGGGCTGGAGCTTTCTACAAAGTGTTCGGTAGACCCACGTATTTGAGCTTACAGCCGATCCCTCTAGCATGTCTGCCTCGGAACGACTCGCTAAGCTAAGAAGTCTAGAGCCTTTTTTTTTCTCAGCCAAGAGCATTCGCATGGTTTTGGGCACCTTGCCAGCCAATCCAGGATGCGCTGAGAGCGGCGTTCTACAGGTGCGGTCCTCCCCGCTCTTCAGTCTGACATTTGTGGTGGGCAACCCGCCAGTTGCAAAAGAGGTCTCAGAGCCGAATCACTCGTCCCGTGTCTTGCAAGCTGACAGCCGCGAATGATGTCAACCGTGTTCAGTTGATGTCTTTGAGCAGCTCCAAGCTGTCAGGTACACAAATGGGAACTTGTACCTGAGTCGTCGGGAGCTTGGACAAAGCAGAAGACTGCTGGAAGCGGATCCAAATCTTTTTTAGATGGCCTCTGGGCAGAGATCCATCATGCTTCTTGACATAGACTGCGGAGTCCTCGAAATCTTGCAAGAGCCCGCTAGCAGCTCGAAATCGCACCGCCTCAAGGCAGCCAGATGCCGTCCGTTCTCAAGGACCATGTTGGCTATGCTAACCATGCGCTTTTCACAGGATGCAGCTCAACTCTTTTCCTTTCTCAGACTGCAGGTATCGGCAAGCGCCTTGCAGATGCCAGCAAGACATGCAAATCTGCCAATGGGATGAAGGACTTGGGGATTACACTGCCGTCAGCGCAATCGACCCAGTTGGACAAGGACTTCTTTCAAACGCCGGGCTGCCCAATTAGCAGTCTGCAGTGGGCATGATGAGAAGAGGAGGATCAGTAGCAGCTTGCGGCAGCCGGGCCGAAGGTTTTGTGACCACGAGTTTGAGAGCGCCGACGAGAACAAGGACGGGAAGGCTCGCTCTGCATATTGTGATTGCTGGTACATGAACATGCAACATCAAGTGAGAAGTGGACTTATGGGAACTCCACGCTTCTCGGTGAAGTAAAACCGCTGCCCAGCTGGAGAGGGCAGCTCATGCTGGCAAGCTTTGTTCGAGATGTTGACCATGACATGTTTCTACACGAGATGGTCGTCGGTTGGTGTGCGCATGCGTGCACATGCTCAGCCAGTGATATATACTGGTACAACCGTGGCGACTGTTGGCAACATATGCTTGAAGTCATGTGCGGATTGCTGCGCCCCGGCCTGCCTACCAAGCTTTGTGCCCCGATACACGAAAGGCAACTGCACCACCAACTGACACAGGTGGACAAGCTGCTGCAACAAATTTGGAAATCTCTGAGGAACTAGGTCGGCAACCTCCATTTCACTTCGAGTGCCCATGGGTGTGCAGCCTGTCTTACATGCAGTACAAATACTGTTAAAGCCTGCCAGCAACTTGCCTGTGGACTCGCTATCTTGATGGACTTCGCGTCTTTTTGCAGACTTCCGCCTTGGTCAGGTTTCCTTTCAAGAGTGTGTGGCGTACCAGAACCGATATCTCTCCATGATGCAGGCAGCTCTGCGGTTCTTGGTTAGTAGTGAGTTTCAACGCAAGCAATTCTTTGCCTCCACTTCCAGCAAGTAGCTGCGCACATTCGGCTCCTGGTCTCTGGCAATTCTCAGCTTCAGCAAGCATCAGAGCGTGGCAGGCCACATCCTTGGGCATCATCAAGTCCTTCAGGTGCAAGACTTCGTGTTTCTGCAAGTACGTGTTTATGGGCTAGGCTTTTTGAGTGGAGATGCCTTGAGCAAAGTCTACTGAAGTTGCCATCTGAGAAGTTGAAATTCATCTAGCTTCTCGCTGTACATGTGTGGATGAGAGAGCAGATAACCATTCTCATCCTGTCATGGCTGTGTCCAGTTTTCCTTGCACAACTCTAGAGGACGTCGGTGATCCACAATGCTGAGACATCAAGCCAGCAGTGACAAGCAGTGGATAGCTCACTAGTGTGTTGGGTAATATTTTTTGACACCAGATGTACAAAGAGGCCTTGTGCCATGTGCCCAGTTTCACCTCGCAGTGTACCAGTAGGAGAACAGGAGGAGCAAGGATTCGCCGAAGCATCCAACGGCTTCACAACTGCGAGAAACACACCACTTCTCCTGAATCGCCATCCCCGTTGCTCCCTGTTTCACTGGCTCCGACAGTAGTTTCGGAAGCCGCGGCCCGCCCACGACTCCCAAAGCGGACGTTGTGCGAGCGGACGTTGCGTGGTAAAACCATGATCCGCCATCCCATCATCCGGCAAAGTCTTGCCAAGGTTTCCTGAGTAGTCCTGCTTGTAGTTTAGTATAGTCGCTAATGTAGTCTCTAATATGGAACCCATGTCCATTAATTGTCTGGTAATGGTGATTGTACCTCATGTCTCTTCTGCTGTGGCTCGGACTTGTTGATCTGGTCATAGAGAAGCGCGCAAAAACACCCAAGCGTCCTGCCTAGGCCATTGGACAGCTCGCTTACGCCCATAATTCAGATTCGGCAGGGTAATCATCTAACCTGTTTGCAGAGAAATTTGAAACTCTAACCCAGTCTCAATGTCTAGTTCAGGATCTTGAGGGTTTCTACTCGGCTGGTACTTACGTTAAGTTACTTTGCCTCACGAGATTTGGAACCAGGGCGGTTTCCGCGGCTGTTAACCACACGAAGCCACTTTGAAAAGCATCCCGCCTGCTAAGTCTCTTTCACAACTCGCGTCCACCATGGTCCGCTGTGGCCAATGGGTGGCGGATGAAGCGTCGCCGGAGCTCCACGACAGCTCAAGCGGCACCTCAGCTGCCGCTTGGCATTCCAACGAGGATTTCCAAACTCCAGGGATCTCTTGCTGGGAAACCTTCTGGAAGGGAACCCTTGTTGTTGGAAACGGTCACAGGGTAAATTACTGCACGGGGGATTTTGCAAAGTTGCCCTTCTTGGGGTGTTGAATGCAAAGCTCCCTGGTTTACCTAGACTTCTAGGCGAGTCTCTGTCGGCGCCGCGTAGTGACAAGTCCAGATTGGCGCTAGAGTCAGCTGAATGGATGGAATCACCTCGGGCTGCGTGGCCCAAGGCCCATGGAGCTGAACGATGCGGTGCTCCGCACGCGCCGTGCTTTGGAGAACCTGGCCGAGCGCTGGCCGGGTCCCATGGCGCAGGCCTCGATTTGTCCAAGTCAGACGATGTGGGTCCTGTTCGATGTGCAGGCGATTGAGGAGCTGCTGAAGGACCCCAACGAGCTGTCAGAGGAGGGCTTGAGCCACTCTGCTGCAGTAAAGCCTTGATGCACCTCTCCAATGCTAGCGAATGAAGCTCCCTGAAGCACAAGGATCTTCTTTAAAAACGTTTGAAGAGCCATGCATCCCCCTTTGCCGTCCAGTCAATAGCTTTCGTCGCCGTTGCAGCTACTAGGCAATTCTGCACGCATCTTTGGCTCCAACATGAAATCAGGACTCGGCCCCGTCATATGGATAGCTTTCAACATGGGATTCCCGTTTTTCCACAGGAACACTGGGTCCGAAGCATCCCAAATACATATTCTAGTAATAGTATAGTGATAATACAGCAGTAATATAGTGATAACATAGCAAGACAGTAATAATATAGTAACAACCTAGCAATAACATTTGAATAACATAGTTTAACATAATAGTAACAGCTATAGTACGGATATGGTAGTTTCCCAAAATAGGGGGACCCCAATATGGACCCCAAAATACTATAATCCTTATTATAGGGACCCTCAAAAGGGTACCCCTAATTTTGGAAAACTCCCATATAGTAAGCTTCCAGGCTGGAGCAAAGAAGTTGGCATGGCCTTCGTCCTTCCTCGCGCAGCGCTGCAGTGTGTTCCACTGGCGGCCAACGAGCCCAGAGACGGCCAGGGTATTGGGATGATAGTAAGACTCGTAATAGTAATAGTAATAGTAAGAATATTATTAATGACAGTTGAATATTCTTATTGTTGGTATGATTTAGTAGTAATAATAGTGAGAATATTAGCAATAATAGTCTAATATTCTTCTTATTGTTGGTACTAGTCACGCTTTTGTCGTACTTTTGGAGCTATCATTACTAATGCTAGTTTTCTGAATCTGGTTATTCCTCAGTACTCTTCTTTGGGTGTTTATAGCCTGGGAGTCGGTGTCTGGACACGGGATGACGCAGGCAGTGCCAGAAGATTCTCGGCTCAGCATTTCGCTAAGTTGGGCTGGCAAGGAAGGAGCAAGTATATTTGTACCCAAAGATGCAAGAAACTTGCAAAAGATCCGTAATGATGCGCGTGTGCCCTTGTTTGAGGCTCGTGGAGCTTCCATTGTCCGGGCGTGTTTTGTCTTGAGCGAGTTTGCATGCAAGCCCTGGACTCGTGATGGCTTGTTCTGCGATCTGTTTGGGGGTTGAGGAAATCGAGCATGTTATAAGAGGCCTCTAGAGATCCTAGAAGATGCAGCCTGTTTCGAATGGACGAGTCTGATTCATGTTGCACAGGCCTGCAGCGCACCGCGTCCTTTGCCTCCTGGACTGCAGCGTCATGCATACATGATCACACATCCACAGGTTTATGCGAGGCGGTCCAAAGCTTGTCTGCAAGAGACTAGGGTTGCCTGAGGCTTGGCTTCTTGGCCTTAGCCAGCTGACATCTTAGGTGAGCATGCCCAAAGCCTCACCCAAGCTAATTGTGGCGCCTGCTGGTCCATGCGGTTTTGGGGTCTTCGCCGCTTGGCTCTGACTGGGAGTCTGCTACCTGACCACATCAAGGCGCCAGGGGCACTGGGGATCAACCGAACGAGAGCTGGGTGAGTCAGGGGCAAATCAGTTTTGTAACTTTGTCACTTTTGCCTTGCAGTGAGACGGAGGGCCGGACAGAAAAGGCAAAAAGCTACGTTAGCTGAGCTCAGCCCTGTGCTTGCGCGATTGTTCGTTCCTACTTGTTCATACCTCATAACTCAGTTGATTAGAGTTCTCCTGTGTCTAGAGCTGTCAGAAGCATGTTTCTGATTCTTTGCATTTGTTGCTCTTGCATCCCAAGCTCTTCTGAGGCCACTGAGAGGATCGCTTCTGGCGAGCGGCTGGGTAGCTGGCCCTGTTTTGAGAAACTCAGCCATGGACATGTTGTGATGGTATCATGTCGGTGGCCACCACGAGTCTTCTTCCCATCTGCATTTTCTGCTACAGCCCCGAGCATCACTTGAGCGGAGATCAAAACCTTCCTTACTTGGATAAGACTAGGGCTTCCGGAAACAAGGTTTGGCGGAAGCAAAACGCTGTGTTTCGTGAGTAATCGCAAGCAACTTTGGGCCAACGCTGTTGCCATAAGCGTCGTAAGCTGCTTTTGTTGCTGTTGTTGTTGTGGCTGCTGGAATTTGCAAGGATAGCGGGCGTACACGGCGTAAGCAAAAGCAACATCAAAGCCGTGTCGTAAGCAGAGGCTTGAAAAACGTAAGCTACCGTATGCATTTTTGTTTCCAGAGCAGAATTCATATGGGTTTCGGGCACAGCTCACTTGGAAAGCTGTGTGCTTAAATGGCAACTCTCTGGCATCATCAGCTCAAGCCCTATGGAAAGCTGCGGTGAGATTGCAAAGTGCGCTGAGGAGAGTACACAGGTGAAATCCGAAGCTATGACGTCTGGTGTGAGGAAATCAAGGCCGGCATTGGGTCCCGCAGTAGGTAGATCACATGAATAAGAAAGCGTGCTGCAGTACTGTGCTGCTCCGTAAAAAAGGGTGGAGGCTGGCGGCCGCATACAGTGACTTACAGGCACTCTCTCGGCATAGTGTCATCCAGGAGCCATCGGGATAGTATACTTGGGTTATATTGGGGTAATATAGAGATAATGGAAAAGAAAATGGAAACAACTATAGTGTATTGGGCTTATATTGGGATAACCAAGATGCAGGGAATGGCCAAGCGACCATGTTTGGCTTCGCTCGAGGCGCTGAAAATGCGGCGCCGAAACTCTGACGCCTCCTCGCCGTTCATCCGCGAGGCAGGAGATGATCTGAATGCGCCTATATAACCCCAATATACTATAGTTGATTCCATTTTCTTGGGCTTTGGCAGGAGCTCTATGCCGCTTGGGCAGGCGTGGCTATGCGCAGCTCAGCAGCCCTCAGACTGAGTCCTTTCTGAACAGGCTCGGGACCAGCTGAAAAAGGCGTGGTCATCGATGCCTTCCACAAGGGCAACTTGATGCGCGACTTAGCCATCATTAGCATTTAAGTTCAGCATCAGCGTATCTATTGCAATTTCAAAATCGGACCCAAGTTGACTGGCTCTCAGGTTTCATCAACTGCAGCTGCAAGCCGAACTGCAGCTTCAAGAGCGCCACTTGGCAGAGCAGCAAAGCCCAAACCCAAGCCTGACGTGGGATTTTCCAAGCTTTGGGGGATCGCAAATTCAGGGCCCAGAAGAAGGATCGGAGTATTTTGGAGCCTACATTGAGGGCCCCCGTTTTTGGAAATTGTTATATGAGATCTACGTCCATCCGTACCGGCCGAGGTGAGTGCGCCAAGAGAGGCTCACGGCCGGCTACAGGTAGCCGCCTGGCCTGCAGGAAGACCCACGGCTTTGGATATGGTGGTTTCCACAAATAAGGGGACCCCCAATTTATGGGGATCCAATTTAAGGTACCCCTAATTTTGGGAAAGCCCCATATCAAAGTACCACATCATCTGACAAGGCTTCCATGGTGCCAGAACCTCCGAGGCAGTATGAAGTAAGTATGAGCCTCCTCTGTGCAGGTCACATGATGTAAGTTGCACAGTACCGCTGTCACTCCCCAGACTACCCTGCGGGCCATTGCAGCCGGGGAGCAGCTCTCTGTGGACTATGGCTCCTTGAACTTGAAATTTCAGAGCATGCTGCGCAGCATTGAGCAGCTGAACAACTAATATAGGGGGTTATACTTTTATACTATACATTGTTTTACAGGGTTTATATAGAGAAATATAGGGCTATATAGGGATATAGGGGGTGTATATATATATATAGAGATATAGGGTTATATAGGGATATCGGGTTGTATAGAGGTTATACAAGCCTGAGCAGTTTGGCAGAGGTTGGTACCACGACCCCGCCACACTGGAAGACATCCGAAAGGCCGGCTTCTGCAAGTACTAGCCTTTGGTTAGCTGGGAATGAAGGAATAGAAAAGACAATGGACACTACAATTTAGGGTTCAGGGTTTAGGGTTTAGGGTTTAGGGTGGGAATGAAGGAATGGAAAAGAAACTGGAAACTATCAAACTATATAGGGTTATGTAGGGTTATATAGGGGGTTATATGGGGGTTATATAGGGGATATTTTGAGATGATGGAAAAGAAAATGGAAGCTACTATAATGGTTTTATAGGGACCACAGTAAGGGTCCATTCCTTCTTTCTAGCTAGCCAAAGGCCAGAGTAGAGGCCAACCAAGTCTTTTCTATGGTTATCTATCAATGCCAAGGCTTCAACGTGATAGAGACATAAACAATAAATGATATTGTAGCTTCTAGACCTAGACAAAAAATTATATTGTAGTTTCCATTTTCTTTTCCAGTACTGCTATATAACCCTATATAACCCTATCTAACCCAATAAAACCCTATAAAAACCCTTTTCTAACTTTATCAAATCCCTATAAAGCACACCCCGCACGCTATCTGACCCAGCTGCGAGGAGGCTGTCGTAGCCTACTTGCTGGATCTTCCGAAGCTGCAGGCCGTGAGCTTGGCTGCGGACCTGCTGTGATGCCTTTAAAGGGGAAAACAGGGTTATATAGGGGTTATATAGGGTATAGGGTTTAGGGTTTAGAGTTTCCCAAAGTCAGAGGTACAATGTTGGGAGCCCCCATAATAAGGATTATGGTGTTTGGGGGTCTATATTCGGATTCCCTCGCTTTGGGAAACTACCATATATACATATGTATTGACATCTAAACGTATTGCACTCAGAAGGCAGCAAGGAACGATTGGCACAGTGATAGTGTGAAGGATCAACTCTTTGCTTCTTGACGACCCCCACCAATTGCTGGACAGTAGGCAACCCTTACAAAACTTAATTCTGACAGGTCGTCTTCCGAACATCTTACATGTATACAGACTTAGAATGATAAAGATGTATAAATGCATGTGTCTCTCTCTCTCTCTCTCTCTTTCTTAAATGACCTTTTAACCACATTCGTCTTTCTTGAACCCAATATTCTTTAACGCCTAGGACTGCCATTGCTTGAGGCCCTGCGGCTGCCAGACCCGGTGGCCAACGAAGCGGATTCCGAGGCTGTGCAGCTGGTGGCCGAATCACTCAAGGTTGGGAATGCTAATCACAGTAACCGTTGTTTTTCTAATCATGTAACTTCAGACGCTTCTTCAGTGGTGGTAGGCGTTTCCAAGCGAGATCAGTAGGCTTCAAACCAGTACAGTCCGGGCCAGCTCCAGTAAGAAGGTCATAGCCTCCATCATTTATGGGGCTAACCTTAGTTAGTGGAAGCAGCCTTCTGCAATTGCGGCTTAGCGGCTAGTTGCGGCTTGGGTCTGGAGTGTGAAGGCTTTAGTTTTTGAAGTTGTTCAAGACATGAAGGCTCTTCAGCAGCTTGCAACCTTAAGAAAGCCAACGATAGCAGCAAGTATGATAAGGATGGCACTGATGAACACCATAAACAGAATTAGTTGTCACATGGCAAAGAGGGGTGTAGAAAGAAGAAAAGTCGCAGCTACAAAAGTAAAAGCTATAGCAACAGCGGCAGCACAAATGATAAACAGATCAGTGCCTATCTCCGCTCCACCCAGGAGGCTCGCGGCCGCCCTGGATTGAGGAGGCTGGGGCGCCAGAAAAAAGGACTCTATGTGCTTCTGAGGCTTCCAAGCAGTGACTAGAAGGTATGGAAAAGACAGTGATTACTGGCGTGGTGCTGTGATCGCTGAAGGTCTTCGCAAGGAGTCGTAGGGTGCAGGCCAGGGCAAATTGTTCTTTGCTCAACAGCTGCCCAACGAGCAGGACCTCACTTACAAGAACCCTGGCAGTATCATTCCCAGCTAAGCTCGATCAAGAAATTTTAGGACCAAATTTTTATTGCTACTGTTATTATTACCATTACTACTGTCATTGTTATTTCCAAAATTATTACTGCAAGTACTATTACCATTATCATTATTGCTATTATTATCTTGAATAGAGGCGGCCTCATGGATTTCTCGCGGGCTTGCTGGACTCAGAGGCACTGGCGAGGCAGCGCAGAACACAACTTGGGGCCTCTGACACGAAGGGAGGACGGACATTTAGTTGTATGGACTTTCGCGGAGGAGGCGTCTATTTTTTACGGAGGTACCATCGTCCGCAAGTTAGAGTCAGATTGCATCCTCCTTTTGGGTATGGAATGTTACATAAGAAGACATTGTTTTCAAGAGGCATCTCTGCAGAATAGCTAGTTAAGAGAGCACGCAGGCTTCTGAGCTATATTGCCACCAGGCACATGTCGTGTGTCATCAAGGACATCGTCATGCACAAGCCCTACCAAAATTTTGGGGCTTCCAAAAACCGGGGTCACCTGATATACCCCTAAACATTATAATCCGATTTTCAGGAGACCCCCCAAAAAGGGACCTTAATTTGTGGAGATCCCCGAAGTTGCGATCTCTCATTGTTTACCTATGCACCGGAAGTTGCCAATGCCACATGGACTTTGATTCTCCACTACAAACCTGTATACCCCCATAATATGGCTAATGTGAGGATTCTCAAGAGACTATCAAGGGTGGACAGATTGGTAGTTTTGCATGCCAACAAATTCCAAGCTAAGGACCTCATGTCCATCAAGTACATAAGAAGTATTGTCTGTATCCTAAACCCGATAAACCCCAAACACCTAAAGTCTTAACGGGCTCAAGGGTCAGATCTTGGCTCTGAGCAGTTGTGAGGGCAAGCCAAGTGAATGTAGGCCAGACTTGCCTGTGGTTCAAGGGTTGCAGGGTCAAGCAGATTTGCGGTCCTGGACTGCGCGCGGTAGGAAGGAAGGCAGATTAAACAAATCGGAGCTTTGAACCAGTCTCGCCCGACCATGAGTCTTCCGTTCAGGCGGACACCGGAGTGCCTAAACTCTCAACAAAACGCTCAAGCCTTATTTGCCCATCATATACGTCTACAAACCTTACATTGTATATCCCCATGTAACCCCAACCCTAAACCCTATAATAATCCCCTATATAATCCCAGTTTCCATTTCATTTTCCATTTTCTTTTCCATTTGATTCTCCATTATAGTAGGTACCAAATTGGGAGAGCATACACGCTTAGGATGAGAATTCGTCCGTTCTTCTGTGTGCCCCTGCCGCCTGCCCAGAGGTTTCTGGAGTCGGGAAAGCATTTTTCCGAAGCGACCACTTACAGAACCATCCCGGAACCGGTCACTTTCCTGAGAGTATGGGGGTTTAGGGCTTAGGGTTTGGGGTTTGGAGTTGCACGGAGATTTTTAAGGTTTATGGGGGTAAGTGGAGGTATGGAGGGTAGAGATATGTAGGGGTGTACAGGGGTTTACAGGTGTGTATACCGGTATGTTGGGCTAGATGCGGATACGAAAGGTCTAGGGTTGATACTTACGGACTGTTACCAGGGAATGGAAAATCGAGTATTACTGGACTCATTTGAGTGCCTATGTCGGGGACAAAGGATTCGATTGTATTTCCTTGGTGAGGCTTCTTTAGAATCTATGCTGCGGTGCTTTGCCGCAAGGTTCTCGTATGTTCTCGTTAGCTTATTAGGAAGCATCTCGTGTCTGAGTGAAACGGTTCCCTTGTTTCGTGTTAACATCGTGGCACTGTGTGACTTTGCGTGAAGAGCCTAGCTGTTGCTCACTTCTCATCCTCGTAGTATGACTGGAACCATTCCAGAGTTGAGATGCCCCAAAGGCGATCGCCCTTCGCGGCAAAGTATTCTATGCTTCCTCAGCCCATGCCTAAGTCACCACGTGCTGAGGTGTGGCTCCTTTATGAAGTTCTGGGGGGCGAGAGGCATCTGGGAAGTTGCGCTTCTGTGACGAGAAGTCGGTGGATTCTGTTTTGGAGACTGCATTGTAATATTTTGTTGACTGTGCATGGATGGATACGCTCGTCTGTTGCCCAGTCTAAACGAAAAGCAGGTGCATTCATGAGCAACTAGCTGCCTGTGAATCAATCTGGATCGATTCTCTTTGATAGAGTGACGCGGGCGTGGCTGGATGAACATGTGTGAAGTTGCTCGCAGTCAGGGTTGGGATTCCGTGCAGATGTGGCTCAGATGCCAGCCCCTTGCCTGAACAGGTGGTTCCATTTGACCTGTGCCTGTCCATGCCGGGGGTTCCAGGAACTGGTTCCTGCAAGAGGTAAACCAGGTAAGAAGCGTAGGCGGACCTTATCCAACCCTAGACCTGAATCCTTTCGTCCTGCAGCTCCAAGGTCATTCCCCAGGCGTTCGCCTCTGCCATACTGAGGCCTTAACTCAAGCGGGCGCTGCTCGGGCATCATTGGCCGGCCCCTGCAGGCAGCGAAAGGGTTGCCCAGCTTGCAATGTACCTTCATTGATTCCAGGCAGAGATTAAAGATTTAATTAAGCTGTGAAGGAAGGATTCTCAAGCAGTCGGCGCACCTACTTCCAATGATATCATCCACAACAGAACATCTATCCTGACTGTTTGTTTGCTTCTGCAGCCCTGTTGGAGCACCCGCTAGCCTGTCTTAGTTGGAAGTTGAGCCTTAGGCGTTGGTGCAAGAGCTTAGCAACATAGATGTTCCTCACTCCACTGCAAGCAATGTCTTTTGGCTTCAGATGATGCGTGCTAGGATCTCCTAGGGTTTCTCCGGCTGAGATTCCGGATTTGCAAGCGTGATTGTCTGCAATTTGCTCTTACTACTTTTGGAAAGCTGAGTACCCATGAAGATGTCCTCAAGCTATTGCCAGACGCCAGGTACAAGCTGTGGAGAACTGGGGAGGGGGGGGGGTCAAGTTTGACAATTCAGGGTTCTGATGTTTGTGGGGCAGCTATCCGTTCCAACCTATACCTCTGGGATGTTGCAGGTTAACTTCACCGGCCGCGACAGCGACGACGAGCGCTGACTCTGTCTTATCGCTCTGGCCTGCCAAGGGGCTTGTGCATGTTGCAAGACAGCGAGCACTTGTCATATACTGGGCACAGGATGGCAAGGGATTCTTCAGGTGACCTACAAATCGCCGAACTCCGCAAGGAATGATGATGCCAGCTCAGGGCAGGCGTAAGGTAGAATTCGAGCTTTGGCATCTGGGCTAGAGTACTCCGTCATCGGGTTTTGTCAAGCTCACAGTTGAGTTGGGGCAGCCGCCAGCTTTGTGAAGGCCATTGGCTCAAAGCTGACATCAAACAGCCCTGAACCACGCAAGACAAACAAGTCTTGGAACCCCCGATGTTGAAAACCCAAAGAAATCACCTAAGATCAAGGCAAGCAGTCACAGCAATGCTATGCAGCCCGCCTGTTCCGTCACAGGAGGAGTGCGCTTGTCAAAATTTGGCGTTTCGTGTAGCAGGATTCCATGTCTGCCTCTAGGGGCCACAACTGTTCCAAGCCTAGCTCAAAACAAGTCGTGCCCAAAACACAGGAAAGCACAACTATAAGGGGGGAACGGGTGGTCTCGTCAACTGATGCGCACGAGGAGTTCGGCAATTGCTTCACAGAGAGGCCTCGCTTGCGGGAGCTTGCCGTCATATCCCATTAGTGTTGTCATCTGAAAACTACTGTACCGCATGTCTGCGGAGTGTCGGGTGCCGAAGCCTACTCTGCCGGCACTTGCAGCACTCTCTGAGGCCAGACGCCTGTCGAGTGCCTCAAAGATTAGAGGGGGCTGTGGCCTCAACCGAATACATTTCAAAGCGGCCAACTGACAATACTGGTGTTTGCAATCCTAAGGACGTGTACCTTGAGACATGCTTCGTCGCTGTACTAAAGACATTTCATTTTAGAGTCTTGACGCGTGCGGGGCCAGCAAGGCTGCGATGCCTGCCGCCAGCTGCTGGGTGTGGGCCGGCAGGTATCGCGAGAGGCGCTGCGACGAGCCTTCCTGGCAGCGCCTTGGACGAAACCAGATGTTCGGGTTAGTAAAGGTGAGGTGGAGGACGTTTCCGTTGAGTGGCTTTGGGGCACAACGTGCTCTGTCTCAACTGGAGGCCAAGCCATACAAGGATTCATGCCAAATATTCTGTCAACAAGCAGAATCCAGGCAGTAGGTCCTTAGTTGTTGGTAGGAAATGCTTCATGAAGCCACCGCTTCCAGTAGATCCAGGCGGCCTGGAAGCATCACCCAGATGCGCTTGGCGAGGGCGACTTCGCCGAGCTTGGAGCCCAGCTGACCGAGAAAATGGCCAGTTTTCGAACATGCCGCAACAGAGAGCTCCTGAAGTCATGGAATGGCAATGCTTGGCGATCTGCTATTCCAGGAATCTAGTACAACAACTCTTCCTCCAAAGCAGACGTTCCAGAATTCTTGGTGCCATGAGGAGATAAGTGAGTAGGGACCAACCTCGCATATAGCATCTTTACCTGGTTTGCTGCAAGGTTGCGACGCTGCTACGAGCTTCTGCTCGCGCGTTGCCAGGACCCAGACTCAGGCAGGCGATCGGGGGTAGTTTCGGAATCAGAGTTCCATTTCAATTACGACATGATTTGAATGGCTCTGAACCCGAAAAATCTAGAGGAGGCATGACAAAGGGTAACGCAAGGTACAGGGATTGTAAGAATAAGCCAGCTAGTCCGCAACAGCTCTCCGTAATTTCTCCAGGCAATTCCTAGATTCACTCCGGATGCCTCTTTGACAAAATGAAGTGGGTCACTCATTCACACATCCCTCGCTCACTCACTCACTCACTCACTCACTCACTTGCTCACTCTATCTGCGGAGGGCGCAGTCAGGCGAGCCAAGCCTAAGAAAACAAAGCCCCTCAGAGAAAAGCCACAAGCTTTGATGCGCGTTACAGCGCAGGCACACGGCCCACGGACTGAAAGCTGAAGCTGTTTCTGCACATGTGCACACATGATGAATTGCCCTGGTGCGTCTGAAGCTGAAGGTGTTGGCGAACCACTCCCGTGTACGAAGGACGGCCCACGGGGAAAGCCAGGTTTGTCAAGATTAAGAGCCGACTCTGGGCTTTCTCTTCACACGTGCTTGCAACGGCAATCCGACAATTCAAGCGTCTTTCTAAAATTCAAGTGCTTTGATCATTATCGCAGGAACTCCAGCCATCATGTGGCTGGCTGCATGCTTCAATACCTTTGGCTGGAACTGGTTCAAGCTGACCCGACTACTTGTATATCGTGTGTCTTGTTGCTTCCTGGCAATGCTGGAGGAGAAGATGCAACCCCTTCGTCCACGGGCCCATCAGACACGAGGATCTTGCACAAATGTGTCTGTAGCCTGTTGCGTGCTTTGCCACGCGAGGACGGCCCATCCAGAGCCCGGCTGCTCTGCCCTCAGAGCCGGGCAAGCTGAACATGGTCTCTTTTCCTGAATTTTCCTCTGTTTGTCCAAGCTTTGAGGCCTGGGCCTCTGCACGAGCCAAAGGAGTTGTTGCCCAAGTGTCATCGGCACCGAATCGCCTGGAGGCAGAGTTCGATGCCAAGCTGCGGCAGGTAGACCTTGACATTCCTGAAATGCTCGTCTCGTGACATGCCTGTACGCGTCTGACAGCCGTGTGGATAGCCAGCAAGGCAGTGAGTGGCCTTGCTGTGAAATTCACCTCAGTTGCAACGCAGGTCCGCGTCGAGCTAGCGCTGGACTCACCGCTGCCACCTTTTCTCTGGGCCACTGCAGCAGCGGAAGGCCGCTTCAGGGGTTGCAATCTGTGTCTGGAACCAGAGAGGTAAAAAGTATCATCAGCAGGTCTGTCTGCGGTCAGAGTCGTTCTTGGGTGAGGGTGCATCAAAGTCACCCCAAATCCTGAGATGCGGCCGCCCTCGCTGCCTTTTCCAAGGTCGAGGCCCGCTTCGTGAGCGGCCGGGCTTGGCTTTTTGCGGCCCCTTTGCTGAAAAGACATCCAAGGGGCATAGCAGCCGAAGTGACAATTGTTCTCAGCTGTAGGGGTTGCTAAGTGTTGCTGGATCATGGCGCGGGACCACAACCACCTGGCCCCCAAATCCTGTCCCAAACTAGCCAGCTAAACTTATGCATACTGCAAATGTTCAAGATGACTGACATAGGCCAAGCTTCACGTGCAGCACGCAGGCTTCTACTACCGCACCATCGACTTCAACGAACTTGCCCCAGACTTCCGCAAAAAATGTGGGAAGCAAGGTTGGACTTGCTGGGAGACTGTATCTGCGAAACATCCTGTGGCATCTTAACCGTGCTTGGCAACTGGACTTAGGCTGCACCAGCCTTTGCACACACTCAATTTCGTGGACACCTCAGCTGCACCATTGGAGATAGTTGTCAAGCATGTTTCGTCCGGCACCCAGGCTTCTACCTTTTCTGGAGCCGTTTCTTCAGCGATTGGAAGATTGCCGGCGCACTGAGTGAGAAAGGCGTGGGTGCCTGGATGTGCTTTGTGTTCGCATAAGCAGGCGAGAAGTGAGAGGTGGACTAAAGGGTAGCTTGCACCTGCTGTAGACGTTGGCGCAAGAACAAACTGGGGTGCATTCGACGTTTGGCCCTCTCTCATGATATAAGACCACCGTGAAAATGGTGCAGGTGCTTGCACTGCCTTCTTCGATGGTAGTCCTATCCTCGATATCCTCACGTGTGTTTGCGCATGCATGAGCTGCTTGAGCATCAAGCTATACCCAGCAGCCGTGGCAATTTGAATGTGGCACATATGGGCAGTGACGGAGTTGTCAGCTGTCTGTAGCGTAAGTGAACTGACATGGCTTGTTGTGCGAGGCCGTGATGACCCTCCATGGGGCCGTGTTATGACCTTACGCGTCCTGAGATGTAGCTGTCACAATGCCTTTGTAGAGCCAAACACAGGCAGCTGGTGGTGATCCAAAGCCACAGCAATGGGCTGGCTACCCAGCGTATGAATGTTAGTGCAACTCAGCTGGCACTTGACGCGCCCTAAACCGTATCATGAGGCGGTGTGGGACGCCGCGGCTGATTCGTTCGCGAAGCGCTCCGTGCTGATAAGGCAGGCGCACTGATTCTCGATCCCATTATCAGGCTTCTGAGGTCAGGCTCACAGGTTGCAAAACACATGTGCATGGGTCAATTCGTTTGTCAAAACATCAGGTTCCATCATGTATCCTCACAAAATCCCCACTCAGAACGACAGCAAATTTGTTTCATCGTGAAGCAACCACATGCAATTCCCTGCAAAAAGGGCACTCAATTGCAGGCCGCTGAAGAGCGCCTGAGAAGCCAGGTGGAGATGGCTCTCATCGCTTAAAACGGCACCCAAGAGTTTCTTTCAATTGTGGGTTGCCTTCACAGATGGCTAGAGCCGATTACTTTATCAGTACTTTATCTTGCCAGGCAGAGGGCTCGCCTAGCGTGCCTTGAGATTTCAAGTGTAACTGGTTGCCTTTTCTTCTCAGCAAGATTAGGAAACTGCTTGTCTTCTAGCCATGCGCTCCGAAACCGTTTCAGAGTCATCATCCATTAGTGATGTGGTAGAAGATGAACACCTCCGCAGCCGAACACCGCGACGGGAAGATCATCGCATCATCCTGGCCTATCCGCCCGGCGCTGTCTCCTCGTACTGAGCACTCTTGGGATCAGGTCTAGTGATGGAGTGAAAAGTCAGACAGGAGCACAGCCATAGTCCTAGCCAGGTCATCCACCGAGCTTCAGTCAATGCCTTCCGCTCACCTGACATTGCGGAGATCAAAGTGGCACCTGAGGGGTGCCGAATTGCAGACATCTTCATCTTCAATCATGTTGTTTTACGCAACTACTTGGCGCATTTCTTCACTGATGAAGCTGCCAAGCGACCCATTTACTTTTTCTACCAGTTGCTTGCCCAATGGAGGAAGGACCGGTATGATCGACTCGCTCTATGACCTGTTCGTAGCCGTACTCACTGAATGGTGAGGCATTGGATCTAATGGACGAAGATGTCGAGGTAGACCATGCGTCCATGACTGTGGGGGAGTGGAAAAATGGGGGTTTCAATACAATTCTTAAAGTTCATTTTTCCTCATCTTCATCCTTGCTGGCTTGCCCGCTTCCATGTCCGCACGGTGGGCCATGGAAGCGGGGCAAGCCAGGCAAGATGAAACGCGAGTACAAGACCACAAGGCATTGGCAGCCCAAAGTGTTGCGAAGCAGCTGACGTGCAAGCTTGTGAGCGCCTCAAGGGATTGTAGCTGTGGCAACCTGAAAGAGGGCACCAGACGTTGTGCTAGAGTTGGGTCAAATTACTTGAGGAATCCGAACTCACTGTGACCATTTTGCTGCCATTTTGCTGCTGTCTCGTTGCTCTTGCTGCTCGCACTGCTGCTGTGGGGCTGCTTTTGCTGCTGCTCCTGCTGCTTTTGTTGCTACTACCCCCGGCTGTTCTACACGCCCTTGTGGCTTTCGTGCCAGTGCCTTTGCTCCCGAAGGCAGACAAATCAGCAGACCTGCCCAGACAACAGCTGTTGCGCAAATGTTCTCATGTGAGGGATGATAAAAAAACCCCGTAATCAGGTTTAAGAGGGAACCCGTCCTTGAA